ACGACCTCTTTATGCTATTACCACACACATAATCACGCACACAAATGCACCCCCAGTGGCACCGACATTAGCCAGTGAAGACGGCATCAACGAGGCCTTTCTTCCCAGGCTCTCCAGGTATCTCTCTATCCCCTTATCTCTTCTCACAGCCACAACCCCTCTGTCACACCCACACCCAAAACCAATCATCTCTCTCTCTCTCTCTCAAAATGGCATTATCATCTACGACGTATAAGTTGTTCGACAAAATGTCCCAAAAAGATCTTAACTTAGCCTCCTCTCTTCCTTACACGTAAATCTACAAGTGCTTAATTAAGATATGGTTTTCATAATGATTGTGTGATTTTGGAATGGGAGTTTGATGAATTATATTTTTGTGTTGTCTTAGATTTCAACATACATATGTGATTTGGTGTTGCCTTAAACTAAGAAAAGGGTTCTCTGGTGCCATCTTTCTACTCGGGGCATTTGATTTCGTGCTTATATGAAGATGAAGATCCACAAGGTACTATTATTTTTAACTATTTGTTTAGTTCTCATAATTTTCCATAGTTTGGTACGTTGCTGTATGTTCAGCGAACAAATATATCCTGCTACTTATGAGTTATGATTTTGTTTTGTTCCTCTGTTTGTACATTAAACCCAATGACGATGACGATGATGATTATTATTATTATTATCGTGCATAACAAATGATTGGTGATTGAATTATTAGTTTGATGTTTATTTGGTGTTTAGTTTGTGATTTTTGTTTGCAGGTCTGAGCTTTTGGGTTTCAATATGTTCAATGGAATAAAGAAATTATCATGTGAAGGCCTGAGAGGCCCCTCACTTCTTCTCTAACATGATTGTCCAAGCCAAACTCAACTTTTGTGCGATTATGGTAATTAACTATGTTGTCGTAGTTGTCTATTAATCCATATATACTGTTTATTCTTAAATTGATAATTGATAATTATGGACACCATATGTCTGTTATTAGTGTATTAAATTTGGGTTGGGGTTAGTATTTTTGCTATGGTTAGTTTTTGACTATTTGTATGTGTATCTTTTCCTTTTCTTTTTTGTTTTTGGGTATTGATGGGAAGTACCTTGAAGAGTGGTGTTTGTTGAAACCAATCTATGGTTGTTTGGGCATCTAGGATTAGTTTAATTTGTTATATATTTTTATTTGGTCTTGAAGCATTAATATTGAAGTGAATATGCCTTTAACTAATGTCTTAGCATTCCAGTTACAATTTACAATGGCTTAAGTTGCAATGTTATTTTTTTCTTTGCATGCATAATGACAGATAATTTTTGGACTTAATATGAGTACTCAAGACTCAATACAAGTATTTAGCATTTGTGGGCTTGCGTTTCTATTGGCTTTTCGTGTTACTGCCATTGATTTAGTAGTGTCCTTTTGTTTGATGATTTCTCTAGGTAACTCTAATTCCGTGTTGAATCATTGAGATTCAAATTAGTGATGAGTTTATATCATTATTTGTGCTGTGATATGACTCTTTGAGTTTTTTACCTGGTTCTGTTTTACTGAAAGCTAATTAAGCCTAAGCATTGTAGTGGAGGGTTGAAAAAAATCTCCACCAGGTTGCCTACAAGTATTAGATAAGTAGGTTTGTTGACATTGCTTTAGTTCGATTTATTTAGTAAGAAATTGTATGTTAATTTTGCTACGATTCAATTTGATTCGAATTTTTGGTTTGATTGCTGTATTGGAATTTTGAATTGTAGGTCTGTGAACATGTTGGTAGTGAATGAGAATAAATAAGACTGGTATGTGTTTGCTTCTACTGATTTTTTCGATTTTTCTCTAAGAAAATGAGATGATTTTCTACATGAAATTTTCATCTCTATTTTTTTTTGTTGCACATAGCACATCAACACGCACGCACATAGCACACCCAACATGCATTAGTCACCCAACCTCTTTTTTATTAATTGTGTGCATTGTTTCATTTTATGATTTTTTTTGGTTATGATTTTTGTCAGATATGTAGTTTTCTTTGGGAATTGCTTGAGGACATTTTGCGTTTATGAAAAATTAGTTTTCTACATTCGTTGGTTAAAAGGTAGCCTATTTTGGGGATTTGGTTGTTTGCCTACCTATTAGCAGTAATCGCAAATGTGGCTGGACCTTTAGGTTGCCTATTTTGATTGTCGATCTGAGTAGCAAAGGAGCTTCTTCAAGTTGGAAATCTTTATATGGGCATTAGGTTGGAGTAGTTGATAAAGTTTCTCTCTTTCTTCACTCCCCCACTCATATAGTCGAATACACACATCACTGCACAACCCCAATTTTCTTTCTAATTTGTTGTCGTTTAATTCTAGGGCAGTAAATTGCAAACATGAACAACATTATTTTTTAAATTCTTTCATCTCTAAACTATAAACACAATCTATGTTATTTGACAATTTTTTCCTTTATTTTCAACGTTGAAATCTATCTTTTGATTTCTCTATTTTTACTCAAATTTTGTTCTTTTTAATTAAATTTCCCTAATATTGCTAATGCATTGACCTTTTTCAGCTACTCACGTCGACACGTTTGAGATCGTGACTGTCAAAGTTGTAAGATTATTTTTCCAACAACTTTTATTTCTCAATACACCGATTTGACAATACAATTTTTAGTTTGTTGGAGGGACTGGTTGCCAAAGGGATTGTTTTTATGTGAATTAACTTGAAGATTGGGTAATGGTGCCATTGCCATATTTTTCGCATAACTCTAGGTGTTGGATTTTTGTTTATTTGGTTAATGTGGAAATCTTTAGGTCAAAGGCACAACATGAGCTAGCATAGTAAATCAGAAGACACTCTAATTTTTTTCAACCTAACCAATCACACTATATTTATTATATTATATTTAATACATGAAGTCTATTTAACATAAAAAGGCCAAAAAAGAATGTATATTATATATGTATACAAAATTGACTAATTATCACCATTGTAAAAAAGTGAAACTAATTGTCATTTTTATAATTAAAAAATATCAGTTATTCACTAACAATCCATTAAATTTACTCAATAAACGATGTTCCAAACATTATCACTAAAATATTAGCATAGTAAAACTATTTAACTAAAATTTAAGAGGTAAACATATTAAAAAAATAAAAATCGATTGGCAAATCATATAAATTATAATCAAAACACAAATAAAAATAAAAAAAAATTTCGTAGAAAAAACAAAGTCAAATGAAGATCAATTGAATGAATTTTCACTTGCAAAAAATCATAATAAAATAGAGGTCATCTGAAAAAAGGCTTATTATAATTAAAAAAAACTAAATAACTGAAATAAGAAAATTATAGAGTGACTCATATAACTCTCTCTCTCTCTCTCTCTCTCTCTCATTTTACACCTGTACCCAAAAAAAAGAAGATATTTTTTAGGTATAATGATTAAATATATAAATTGTGTACATGTTGATATTTTTAGAGCTCGTGTTTTTAGAAAATTTTTGTCAATCTTTTTAGAAAATAGTGTTTTAAAATTGATTTTGAATTGTATAACTAAAGAAAATAATAAAAAATAAAGTAATATTTGAAAATATTTATATTGCATGACTTGCGCTTGAGGTGTTTTGAATTAATTAGTGTATTCAGACATGAGTTATTACTAGTGTATAGTGTATATATATATAGTAACATTAAAAAAAATAGTATCATTCAAACACAAAAATTGTAGTAACATTTAAACACAAAAAAATAATAATGTTCAAAAACCAAAATTTAATAACATTTAGTATTAATATTTAAAAAAATAACAGTAGTAACACGCTCAACAAAAATAGTAACATACCCAATAAAAACAGTTACATGCTCACAAAAATAATAACATAAACAATAAAATGATAAATAAATAAATAAACGTATATAGATAGAGAGAGAGTGGGAGAGAGAGAATATCAGTTACTATTTGAATTTGAATTTCAAATTTATGTAAAAAAATTATTAGTATATCTTTATTGATAGTAAATTAAGGAATAATAATTCTCAAATTAGGAAACTAATTTAAATTTACTTTTAAGGAAGGGTATTTTAGGATTTTTAAAACATAGTGGACTTAACTACTTATTAGTAAGATTAAAAATGAATTTATCTCCAAATAAATTTTTTTGACAGATTAAATTCATTATAAGTCTGTTAAGGAGAATTCAACCCTAATTTTCATTTTTTTTTAAAATTCAAACAAGCCCATTGTGGCCTATTATAGACGGGCTGTTGAGTAGCCCATTGGGTCGGTCAACTGACAGGCTGAGTGTGTTGGTGTCCCTTGGCAGAAACCCCGAACCCCAGCCCCCCTATTCATTAACTTGCAGGTTGGGGTTGCACGACACAACCCATTACTAATACTTAGGCGGATCTTTAGGAGAGATAAGCATAAACATGAACTATATTATTTCAGATGGTAATTCCTCATGAGATGGCCCATAATTCACTGTGAAATCATGCAAGATCGAGTACAAAACAGTCTAAGACATATCACATAGGGTCAGTAGTTATTGTCACACATTAACAAATCAATAATGCTTTATGCACCTAATTTACTGACATAATTTGTTGATATAATCTATCACAAACATTGAATTGGTTGTAGATTGCAAGCAATATTGGGACAAATTGTCAATCCAATAGTTTTAAATGATTAGTTCAGTTAATTGTGTCCAAATAACATTGCCCTTAACAAATAGAATTCAATACAAAGAAAAAAAAACAATATTCAGCCACTGCGGAGTAAAACAAAGTTGGTTCTTATTTCTGATCTCATAGCACACTGAAAACATAGCCTCAACAACAACAATCACCAGAATATTAATAAATATCAAACACAGAATAGTAAAATAAAATAAAACAGAAATAAAAATAAAAGAATTCATTCCATTAATAAGCAATAATTCATCAACCCTACTCAATTTATTTAGCTAGTTCTCTACACATAAGCGGAGAAAACCAATAGTGTCGACACTTAACTAATTCTTTCTTTGTTTTCTCTAAGCCTTCTTGGCATTGCTTTTCGCGCTACCACTATGCTTCATAGTAGATGCAGAAGAACTGTAGGAAGGCACTTCAATAAGATCAGCTTCAATGGCGTTTACATCTTCCACTAAAAGTGCATAGTGAATTTTAACTTCTGCCACTGTTTTTCCTTGGACAGAAGCTGCGATTTTCTCCCACCGGTCTGCTGTGCCATCGGGATATATCACCAATGCAGTCTCGAACGCCTTGTCTTCTGCCCAACTCCACGAGGAGCTGCTTTCTGCCCCATTGCTGGTCATTGTGCCTCAGTCTAGAACTAAAAAACCTAGCCGACTTTGCAAGTAATGGAGATGAACCTCTTTAGAGCTCTAATAGAGTACCACAAGAAAAAGATATGGAAATCATGAAAATAAATATGGAACTATAGTTTTAAGGAAATACTACATTCCCACGTCAACTTAATGAATCATGCTGTTTGGATTAAGAAACTTACCAAATTCAAGTTCAGCATTGCTGTAACTGAATATCAATCAAATCGAGTGTTGATTTCAATTTTAAATGACATGATTCTAAGAGTTGTGATTAAAAAACAGTACATTAAAAATTAGTTTGTATTTTACTGAACGATAACACTGTAGTACCATGCTCGAGCCGTTGATTTTGACTATAATGATTTACAACCATTGAGTGAATAATGATAAAGTCATAAAAATTAGTGGCATAAAAAAATTTGACAGGTGACATATTTTTATTGTATGGAAAGTAGATATACAGTAAGATCCTCCAATTGTCCCATCAATTATCAAAGAATGGTCATGTTGGTATCCCTTCGACAAAAATCACTCTAACTTTCAGAAATTAAAAAACGTAAACGTAGATGTTGTGGATAGATCCTAGCCATTTATGGGTATTGCAAGAGATTCGGTTCATTTCTAAATTTTCTTCCTTTCTCTCCATTATTTTTGCTTCCCAATAAGGGAATGCAGTCTGCGAGTTATTAGAATACAAATTGGAGTCCGAATGAAATATTTTGTTTGAAGGAAATATTATCACTTCATGGTATATTAAAATGCCTTACCATAATGTCCTAAGAGAAAGACTATGAAAAAAAACATAAGTGTATTTCTTGTCAGAACTATATATTCCAGTTTTTTGAAACGTTATGTATTTCTTGGCTTATATAAAAGAGATAATAATTAATCAAATAATTAAGTGGTAATTATAACGGTAGAGCCTTTTTTGGTTGTGTTTTTCCCCTGCTCGTTCAAAACCTGGACCCTTTAGGCCCTTTTGTTGGTTTTGTATGAAATTAAGTTAATTGGGCTTTCTAAGTTCCTGTGTTGTGCAGTTGATGTTAGATAAACAATTAAAAATTTGGAGAATTGTGAAGGGATACACTAAATTATATTTATTGCCTTTAAAATAGATAACTGTTAATGTTAGTCTTTTAATCATCATTGTTTTTTACTTTAATGTGTCCAGGTACACTTTTTGACTTTTTTCTGATTTTTTTAACATATTTGCCCTCCCCTTAAATCATTTATATTAGATTTGATAATTATTTTGTTATTTGAATTTATTTTATTATATTAAATATTTCATATTTTAATGGATGAATTATATTCTCAGTATTTTTGTTATCAAACGTATCTTCTTTATTCTTCTCCAACTACTAACCATTATCTCTTTTCTTCTTCTCCAACCAATTTTCCTTTCTTTTCTTCCTCTCCAATTAGCTAACGTTAAGTGATCGTCCTTATTATTTTGCAATGTTCAACCATTATCAGGTTCAAAATTATACTTTTATTCAGTTTTGGTTCTACTTTTTCGATTCACCTGATTGTTTGAGTAGTCACATTTTTTGTTTCCTTTTTTCGATCAAAGTGTTATTAGACCAAGTTAGTTTTTCTTGCCAGACTAGATCTTTTTCTCCATGTTCTCAGTTTTGTATTGTTTGTGACACCCCTAAAATTAGAGGTCTTTTATTAACTGTTGATCACCATTAACCCGTGGAAGTACCCGTGATTATCGCACAACTCGACGTCATGTCAATAGAATCCCTTAACTGTGATCTTAACCCACACGTGTATCCTTTACACATCAAATCATAGTCATTAATATCCCATATAACCTCCTTGAGCACAAGGAATCGATGCCCAAGAGCTTAGTAAAACATTTCAAAAATTTGGAGTTTAGAGAAAACCTACTTGTAGAAGTGCTCAAGGTTCTATGGGTAGAAATGGCCTACACGAATTCTTCTACCAGTAGGAATAGTGACGTTCTACCAGTAGGAGAACCCTACTAAAAAAGTTTTATCGTCTAAACCTACCAGTAGAAGCTGTTTACTGAGCCACATCTACCGGTAGAAAAACAAAAAGTTCTACTAGTAGTTGTGCCTTGTTTTGCTTGTTTTATCCATTTTCGATTTCCAATCCATATTATATCAACCCAACATATGTATAATGAAGATTTCACATAAAACGTAGTTCGTACAGGTTCGATTATAATCAATTTCATATATTTACATGCTCAAAAACTAAACTTCTGTAATAGTATTACAAAAGCACAAGATAAAGCCACGTTTATGCTTTTCTTCATCCTTGAGGCCTCGAATGAGAGCCGTCCACCGGTGTATACTCCACACCTGAAATATTTTTCCATAAAAGGTGAGCTATGCTCAATAGGGTATCTCCTAAAGAGGCTACTCCCCAACTTAAGTGCATATGAAATGTCTACATGCAACATTCAACAAGCAACAACCATTCCAATTAAGAATATGCTATTCAATGTTGAAAATCAATATGTCGTGCCATTAAATGAGATTAGACTCACTCATGCACTTCAACTTGAACCTTCACAGGCTCTGTCAACACATGTAAATGCCATGCGTATGATCTTCAAACATTTTCAGCCCCCGCTATTGATGTTACACATTCAATGATTATTTAAAATCTTCGGGTCCTTCTGGAGGTGGGTATTTATGAACTTCCAACAATGGCAACCCAACCTACACGACATTTACGAAATTCGACCAATGGCTCCACATACGGCGACACACTTTATGAACTTGATACCAACGGAGTGCGTATATGGAGTAATCAAGTCTTGCACCCTAGGGATAGTCTAACCCTTATTGCTATCCCTGGCCCAATTTTCAATGCAAACCGTGCAACTCAGCTGAGCCTTGACCTAATTTTTTTGAGCCTACACATCATTCACTAAGAGTGGCATTTGATGACAACCATGCACACACACCCACACTCATGCCTAATGCACATGAATGCGATGCCTTCGTTCATATGCAATATAGTGTACAATGGTGACACTATAATCAAATTCAATACGTTGTGAATGTCATATGAACCATATCCACCACATTTCAACATATACCATGGTCAATTATATCATAAACATATAATTATCATAAATCATCTTAATGTCAATACATCACCAAACATATATCAACATTATACACAACCACAATTTCCAAGCATGTTATCGCATAATCTTATCCAAATAACACACTTAATTCTTCAAGACATAATATAAACACATAGCATGCCCACATATCACAATTTTTCAATAAATTACAAGCTAGCAATTTCTAAATACCAACTCATGCTATAGTTGATTTTACCCAATTCCAATACCTATTTCATCAATTAACGACAATAGGCAAGTGTTCTACACCTCTAACACCCTTCTCATTCCATATAATCAGACTAGGTTGAAAATAAACTTAATTGGGGAGAAAAATCTATCTCTTGAAGCGTAAAAACGAGTTGTAGAAACCTTCAAGAAACCACCAAAGCTCAAACCTTAATTTCTCCAAAATTTTATTTTTGAAACTTCGGTGAAATCTGTCGTTTTTGGTACGTAGGCATAGCTTTCGTCGCGTAGATCAACTATAATACTTGGCCCAAAAGATTTTGATCAACAGAACTCCGTAGATCATAGAGAGAAGTTGAAGTTTTCTCTTTTTCCCTCGCGCCACGTGGAGTTCTCCATAAAACCCTAGATTTCTATTTTCACCCAAATCACTCATCATCTTTGTTCTTCCCCTAACCTACCCAACTCCATTGCAATGGCTAGGATGAATGGGATGTCCATAGAGGTATTCGAGCCTATGGAGAGTTGTTTGGTGATGATTTTGACTCTTCTATGTATGGGGGCATTGTTGATACTCATGGCCCGTACAAAGAGGACGGGCCCAAACTCTCCTCCACCACGGGCTCTAGCTCCCGAAAGAGAGTCGAGGAGGGCCCAAGTGGCCAAAAGAGGGAGGATAAAAGGACCAAGGCTAGGCATGATGCCCGGAGGCAACGAATTGAGGAGAAAGGGGTGATGTGCGAGAGGTAGGTCGACAAGGTTTCTCTTGGACCCAATGATGAGGTGGTGAGGGTGATTGAGGCCCGAGGGATACATATTTGGTTTAAAGAAGTGATGGAGTATAACTTGGGAATGTGCCGTGAATTTTCCACTAAGTTATCGATAGTTGGCAATGACGGGGGAAGATTAAGGATCAACGTGAGGGGAAAAATATTTGAAGTGACCCCTGCCACTATTGCCATGGTTATGGAATATGAGAGACCACTGCCAATTACCCCCGTCTACCCACACAACGTGGATGAGGTAGAACTCTCTTAGACTATGTGGCCCTCACCTATGAGGACCCGACCACGTTCAAAGGAAGAACATTGGTCGGGGGCCTCAACCATTTGTACGGGGTTATAAATAAGGTGCTACATTATAACTTGATGGCCCAGGGTTCGGAGAAGAACCCGAACATTGAGATGCTGGTCTTGTTCCACGCTTTCATGATAGAGGTGGCTATGGATATGGCATTCTTTATTTTTGAGAACATGCGAGAGTTTTCCATGGCTACGAAGCCAAAGACAAATCTCCCTTTTGGCACCCTCGTCACCCGTCTCTACGAACTGGCTAAGGTGAAGCACTATTCCCATGATGCACTGTTCCCCCCAAAGACTAGAGCCATAAGAAAACCCAGCAGTCAAAAGAAGGCTGGCAGGACTGGGGGTTAGAGACCTGGGGCTACGGGACCATAGTCGTCAACAGTCGAGCCATCTTCGTCAACACCTCCACCAGCTACTCTTGCTCGAGCACCTGCGACTACCCTAGCTCGCACCATACCCCAACGTCTAGATGCTTTGGAGTCCACTATGCATGGGCTCTCATTGATGGTGATGAGACTTTTCTAGCATACATTTCCGAGTGAGCCTATCCTTAGAGGACCTTCATCGCAGCTTGCTGGACCCTCGACTACTACTCTT